TGGTTTGGGGGAATGTATGTATGTAGTAGCCGTGTCATGTCACGGAGGCCATGTTTGGGGGAATGTATGTATGTAGTAGCCCTGTAATGTCTTGGTTTGGGGGAATGTATGTATGTAGTAGCCGTGTCATGTCTTGGTGTGGGGGAATGTATGTGTGTAGTAGCCGTGTCATGTCTTGCTTTGGGGGAATGTATGTATGTAGTAGCCGTGTCATGTCTTGGTGTGGGGGAATGTATGTATGTAGTAGCCGTGTCATGTCTTGGTGTGGGGGAATGTATGTATGTATGTAGTAGCCGTGTCATGTCTTGGTGTGGGGGCATGTATGTATGTAGTAGCCGTCTCATGTCTCATGTTTCCCCCCACAGCTATCACGGCATTGAACGAGCACTTTGGTTGGCGGTATAGCCTGCTGACGGTGGGCGCCCTGCAGCTGAACATTGTGGTGTGCGGAGCGTTACTCAGACCCCTCAGTCCTCGGGAAGACCCCCCCAGGGCAGAGAACACGCAGAGCACATACATGTTGGAGAACGAGCAGACGCTGACCTCTCTGGACTCCATAGATTCTGGAGTGGAAGTGAATGGGATGGGGAGTGGGACTCCGGAGAGGAAAGAGAAGACGGAAGTCCATGGGAAGACCTCGGCTCCTCTTCTAGACTTCTCCGTGTTAAGGAACACGGGTTTCATATGTTACGCTCTGTTTGGTCTGTTTGCCACGCTTGGTTTCTTTGCCCCCTCGCTGTATATCATCCCACTGTGCCTGAGTCTGGGAATAGACAAGGACTCCGCCGCATACATGTTGTCCTCCATGGCCATCGCCGAGGTGTTTGGCCGGATCGGTGCCGGTTGGATATTGAACAGGAAGCCGATCGGCAAGCTTGCCATTGAGCTGATCTTCGTGCTCCTCCTGTGCCTGGCTCTCCTGGCTTTCCCCTTCACCGGAACCTTCTGGGGGCTGGTGGCGTGTAGCGTGTTCTTCGGGTGTATGCTCGGCACCGTCACCGGCACGCACATCCCCCTGGTGGCCGAGGAAGACGTGGTCGGCATTGAGAAGATGTCCTCGGGAGTCGGAGTCTACGTCTTCATCCAGAGTCTGGCCGGCTTGGCTGGACCGCCACTCGCAGGTAACAATCACCCAACATAGGGGGGGTGACCCGAGGCTGCTGCACCGTGCTAGGGGGGGGTGACCCGAGGCTGCTGCACTGTG